AATTGCCCCTGTCACTCCAACTATCTCCCAACTCTCATATTTTTCTCAGATCTTGGAAAAGTAGAGTTCATCCGCTCACTGGATATGCTAAAGACATTTCGTTATTGATTAACTGAATTACTTTAATTACAAAAATTTTTTTTAGAATCCACATTTGATTTTCGGGGACGTTACAAGAAATACAATGAAGAACATATTTATAGAACAGTATCTATTCATACCGAAATAATCATGTTTTGAAAAACTCTGATTTTCAATTTGAATTCAATTGAAAACAGCATTGCAGGGATTAAGTGACAACATCAATTTTCTCTGCAGAAATAGAATTTTCTAAAATTTTCATTTACATTAAAAATGAATTATAAACAGCAAAGATTAATTAACACGATAAATGGAAATGAGTGGGAAATTGCTTCTCTCTTCATATAGCATAACTCTCTCTCTTCATGTAATATTTTTGCTAAAAAATTATGTTATTTTGCACCTCATTATATTTCTAACGTATATCATGTATCACATTATTCTGTTGAATTGAATTATATTTCATCTTCAATCAATTGTGTTGAATTTCTCATGAAAATTCGTGTATAAATCAAAATAAAGATTAATAACAGAATAATGTTGTCTATATTTTCTTGAAACTTGGATAAAAAGGTATTAGAAAAACTTTTTTCATGCATAATTGAATGAATTTGAAACAACAAATATGGAGAAACCTCGTCAATGTGGCATTGAAAATAACGTTTTAAGCAATAATTGAATTCATTTGAAGTATGATACCCCAAGAAATCTCCGGAATTTCGATTTTCAAACAAGACAAAATTTTTGCAAATTTTTGTGTATCTTTTATCCTCAAACTCCGTTGAAAGGTCATCCAAACTATTTTTTTAAGCCATCATTCAATAAATTCAGAAAATTTTTTTAGTTTCCGTGAGACCACCAATTTTGAAAAAAAATTGAAAATTTTTTAAAATTATTAAAAGAATTGAATTTTAATTCATGTCGGTGCATAGGGCTCAACAATACCTACATTTGAAAAAAAAAAAAAGATTTAATTTGATCGATTCATTAGTCAATAATTGAAGGAAAACTTTGTTACATACATCCTCGTTTAAAATTGCATTTCCGGAATTTTTGGATCATAATGAATTGATAAAACTCAAAAAATTCAAAATTTACATTTGAATCACTACAAAGCTTTCATGCAGAAGTAAAAATAAACTTATTTATTAATTACGTGAATTAACAAATATTACTTCCGAATGGAAGTATTGTAATCGTTCAAATTTAAGTTTCGGAGTTTTCGTGTTGTATCGGCCCATTATGAATGAAGCTAAAACTAGCAGAATTTTTGTCAGTGGAAAATTCAATTTAAGGTATATTTAAGTGTAGGAGAGTCAAATAATCGTATGTATAAATGTGTTTCAAGTGCGAAAGAGTTCGTACATTACTTAAAAACATTTGCACACCCCTAGATTCGCCTAAGACAAATCTTCTGCTGTTGAATCTTTCGTTAGTTTCAGATTCATCCAAAAAGTCCGAAAATGCAATTTTTGACCGTGTCCATACGTGTGTACGAATGTAAACAAATTTTTCTTCGATTGTTCGCTAATGAATTGATGGAATTGAATCTTTTTTCCCCTCAAATGTAGGTATTGTTGAGCCCTATCAATCGCCATTAATTAAAATTTAATTAATTTATTAATTTTTTAAATTTTTCGAAAATTGGTTTTTTCTTGATAACTAAAAAAAATGTGCTGAATTGATAGAATGACGGCTTGAAAAATTGTTCGGATCAGTAATCGGCAAACATGATTTTCACCAATATTTGTATCACAAATACATATTTTTTGTTCAATCAACGTGGAAATATTTTACATTAAAGTATGAATGAGTATTGAGAAATTAACATTTTTTAAATACCGTATTAATGAGTAATCATTAAAAAAGACAAAATTATTGCTTATCTAATCAGGAATTACATTTGAATATTATAGATTAGTCATTCAATCAACAATGAAATTAAAGATGTTTTCTGATACCCATCCAATCAGAAATCAAATCGAAAATATTTTAAAATAATCATGTAGTTAATAATGAAAATTGGAATGTTCCCATCATTTTATCAATTGGTTATATTGGCCGTCAAGATTTTCATGATTCTATTAACGAATAATAGTGATCGAAAATTCTCCCACTATGGTAATAATGATTAATTGAAATGTCATTTACTGTGATGATAATCAGACATAAAAACTCTATCAATTATGAAGTCCATCTCATTAATTGAATATTTTTAGGAAAGAGCTAGGCAAAATGGGATGGCAGGGTAAAATTAACAGTGAGATAAAATAAGATGACCAGGTAAAATGGAACAGAAAATGAGCAGTGAGGCAGGCTGGACACGCAAAACAGAAAGTATTATCATCTGATCAGAAAAGTATGAGAAATGCGATAAAATGGGTACTCCAGAAATATTTTGAGTGTAGCCTTATCAGATGATAACCAATTGACATTGACAGACCATTTACTAGTGAAAAAGACTTAATAATAATTCCGGTGTTACGTGTGTAGATCACCGGGGGGGGGGNGGGGGGGGGGGGGGCGGAAGGGGAGCTATTGTTCTCGACCCTGATTCAATCTCTAAGCACAAAATTTTCCAATTTTCAAGTAACTATTTAAGTGTGCATTTGAACATTTTTTGAATATTGATTTTATTCATCAGATTGATTAATTTATTTCTCATCATTTACGGGTGTTAAATCAGGTGAGATGTTGCAAAAGGTCGTATAAACATTCTTTTTTATTTTCCTGAAAATTTAGGCCGAAAGGTCGTATAAACACTCCCTCAGGGGATATGAAATCTCCACATTTTGGATGATTCTGAGTCATCTAAGCCCAATTTTTCGAGAAAATTTTTTAATTTTTTTACAGGGAATTTTTTTAATTTTTTGGAAATTTGGGCCAAAAGGTCGTATAAATCCTTTCCCAGAAGATGTGAAATTTCCACGTTTCAGATAATTCTGAATCTAAGCATAATTTTTTGAGACAATTTTTTTAGCCCAACTTTTCGAGACGAATTTTCTCATCTTCTTACTGGGAATTTCGGAATTTTTTGGAATTTATTAGAGGAACATAGGTTTCCAGATGAACATTAATAAATACATGAATCAGAATAAGCAATCGGAATTTTTTGTTCTCTATTATTCATTACTATGACAACAGAAAATTAATTGTTTCATTATTTATTATGAAAGCAATCGGAATTCTTCATTTTTCCTTACCCATTATTATGATAACGAAAAATTTATTTGATTCCACTATTCGCGATGAAAGTCATCAGAATTTGTTTTTTTCCCATTATCCATTTTTAGGATAATGAAAAATTAATTTTGTTTTTTTTCTGTTATTCATTTCTACGATAATGAAAAATTGACTTGGTTCCATTATTCACGATGTAAGTAATCGGAATTTGTTTTTTCTCATTATCTATTTCTAGGATAATGAAAAAGTAATTTGGTTTCATTATTCACGACAATTTCATTGGTAGAATAATGAAAATGACTTTTGTACCATTATTGAATAGAAAATTATGTTTCTTTTTTTATTTCCATTTCTCATTATCATCACAATGGAAAATATACTAGGCGTTATTATTCATTACAAAAAAATCATAATTCAATTTCTTTCATTCATCATTGATATGGTAATGAAATATTAATAATGGAAATTATTTTTTTTACCGATCTCTGGTTTGGATGTTCTTTTCACCGAGTTCTAAGGTGAAGGCGATAGCAATAATCGCTATGTTGATTTATTTGAAAATTTTCAAAAATTCTGTATTTTTTGAAAATTAGAATTCCCGGGGTATCTTTGGATATCATACTTTAAATTAATTCAATCATAGCTTAAAAAGTTTGTTTTAATGCCATTAGAAGAAACCCAAATCTAAGGGGAAGGGAACAATAGCATATTGTATCTTTCAAGGAAACAACGAGAACCACAATAGTTGCTCTACTCTGCTGAGTTATATGATATTCAACAAAAACCGAAAGAAATTGCGCAGCATAATAAAAAGAAGCCCACGATATTTAACTTCTCGTCGAATACCAAATCCTTTTAATAAAGAAGAAACCCAAATAGGAATCATTCTTTTCTGAAAACCCGGTTTGCTGTAAAGAAAAGTCTCTTGATATTTCGCATTAACGTTTTATGGAAGTAGAGTAAATGAATCTTTTAATATTTACATTTAACACTAGTGCAATACTAATGTTGTATATACCATTCGGCATTAAAAAAAAAATGAACTCTTCATGAAACTTTGAATTTCAGTGCCAAATCAGATAGAGGCACTCCACTGGGTCCCATATTGGAAAAATGAAATAATAATGGGTTGTCATTGATGTACGAAGAGTGGCGGCTTTACTTTTCGATCCATTATTGGCAATTCATATTAATTTTTCTTCCACAAATATACTTAATAATTTGTGTTGCGACTGGATGGTCTTGATCTCAGCGCAAATCGATGGGTGCAAGTAGACTTGGGTAGAAGCGTCAGCTTGGGCAGCAACGCCCGAGCTGTTAAGCGCTAAGTATCTGAAAGTATTATTTGAATGAATTTATTGAATTGATTTGATCAATTTCTCTCTTGAAGACAAGTAAAACCTAATGTTTTATTAAACTTTTGAATTTCAGGGTTATTGATCTCTCGATGCCCAATGAATCTACATTCAACTCGTCTCAAACACCTTGTTTTCTTTGCTGTCCCCATGAACAAACAATCCGTAAGTATATGTCGTCGAGGAACAACTAAATACTGACATCAGATGCAACCTTCCAGCTGGCTGCATCGCTAGCCTCGGCACCAGAGTTCGCTATAATAAAATTTAACGTGCTAGATCCAACACCATTAAATCCTATCGATAATGCGTCACAGAACACGCATCTTATTAGGTGATAGTTTTCTGACTATGCCATTTAGACGGGAGAGGATATTCATCTAGTAACACATCATTTTCTTTAATTGAAGATAGTTTTTAAAATTGCTAGAAAATACATTAAAGCATAACAGTGACTATATTTAATCCTCCTCACTCACTCTTTCATCTCGCACTCTTTAAAAAAAAACATTATCATCACTTGCACACGTTTAATTAGCTCTCAAGATAAATAAAATCTATCAAGCATTCGTTATTTCATTTTTAAAAACTTTTACATTTACATTTTTTTTCTCCGAGGATAATGGCAAATTATTCATTAGCCATTTCGATCGTAAGGACTAGTTGAGGCCTGCACAAATCATGGATCATTCCTTCATTCAATTGAAAACGAAAAAAAAACCTATCCATCAATTTTCTCGAGAAAGAATAAATAGACAAATTCACTGATCAATCGTTTACAATTGGAAAATGCTCGTCATTCGTTTTTTTCTCTGACATTAAAGCCAACATTTAATCATTTCACACAATTCAATTACAAATATATATATCACGTGCGAACGTTTCGAGCTAATTTTTTTATATAATTAAAATCTATGTTTCTCTCTCTACTTTATTTATTCTCTCTGCAACTTCCCCATCTGACAAATTAATCCATTTCACTATTTCTTCTCCCGTATTTTTTTTTAACAGTGGCACGTTTGAGAAGAACTGTTGTTAACGAAGGATGAAACATTTAGAGAAATTTTCGATTTATTATTGATAAAAATTTGAATTGCGAATAATTCAGTAACTCCGGAAATATAAAACATCCAAATTTTACCAGGATTCACTGTATTTCGGAGTGAATTTAATCAAACAATCGAACATAATTCCATAAAATATTTCGTGTAAGGAGTCATTTTTCCATCTTAGGAATGAAGTTTTCTGGTTAATAAATGGTTCTAGACAAAAAGGATAAGAGGCATTTTTACGTGAAAATTTCGTCAACAAAAAAAACAGTTCTTTTGACTTTTTCGCCTAAAATCAATTAATCCCGTGATAAAAGTGCAAATAACAAAGCTATTAATTCTGTTTTATTGGATCACAGCAGAACAGAATCAGTTGACTCTAATGAGATTGAAGTGAATGGAAAGATGTACCGTATTATTTACTTTCTTCATCAGGTTTTGAACATAAAAAAAATTCTCTATCTTCCATTAAATCCCATTCTTTTATATATTTTTACTGTTCACTATTATTTCCCTGTACATTCTCATATCCCTGAGGCTCTCCAGGTGGTGTTCCATCATGAGAACAACCCGGATGCGGCGTAGCCGGAGTTTCCGGCTGTGACTGCGAAGTCTCAGGAGGGGCATAAACTAGTCTATACCCTGGAGGCAGGAAAAACCCCCCATGAGGAGTATAACTAAAAGTTTGGAAATTAGCAGAATGTGAATCATGATAATGTACATAACCAGGACCACCAGTAGCACCGCTAACCCCAGAAGAGCCTGCAGAACTGGATACGGGAGTTGCCTGAACAATCGAGCCAATCCCCGAAGCGACACTGGCACCATCAGGGAGTATGGAAGTGAACTGGTATCCAGGATGAGTGATGGTTGGACCATTAGTGCTCCCGATGCTCTCACTTTCCTGAATAGCAAAGGACTTGTGAGAACTTTCAGGCATCACAGGAATAGGAATAACATAAGCATGGGATATGCTGGAGGCCGGCTGGCTGGCTTGCTTGAGCTTCTGCGTTGCTAACCGAAGAGTTTCTTCAGTATCTGGAACGTACCCAGAAATTCGACGGAATGAGGCTTGTGGAGCTGTGCTGAACATGAGGTAATCCTCCATTCCATGAGGTCTAGAGGGAACGGTAGTGGCCACTGTGTGATAGAGGAGGGGATGATGCTGATGATGAGCAATGGCACTGGCTTGTTGCTGCTGTTGGATTAGTAGTTGTAGCTGATGCTGCTGGAACCGTTCCAATTCCTCCCTGTGTCTCCTTTGTAAACACTCCAGCTCTACAGTCTGCCTCTTAATCAATAATTGATATTCATCACTGGGAGTAAATTGTTTCCTCTCGTCTTTTTCCAATTCAATGGATAATCCCAGCTGAATCGATGGTCCTGGGGGCATGGAACCTTCTCGGCTTTGCAGGACTACTGCAGGTACCTGCTGCTGAAACTCATCGACATAATGATGTCCCAGAGTTTCCTGCGCTACCGATTGCTTCTGTATATCAACCATCTGCCCTTCAATACCAGCTGATCCTTCTCCAGGGGGTGGTCCAGATACTTTAGACACCATAAATCTAGAAACCTTCCTCACAGGCTGACTCTGCCCCGCAGGATCCCCTTGTAATTCCAGATGCACTGGGGTGTTGGACCCAGAGTTACTAGAAACAACGCAGGGGGCCACTGTGCCGACAGGAATTGCGGATATTGGGATCACCGGAGTGAGAAGAGGTTGGGCTAATGATTGAAGGGGTACCTGACCACTTCCAGAAGAAATCCCTTGTACACCAGTCATTGGAGGGGTCAGGGGCTGTGGAGAAGACGTAGGAAGTCCTGTGCATTTATGATGGATCTTAGCAAGCTCTTGTTCCAATTCCTGCAGCCTAGAACTGGGTCTTGGAGCTCTGACGTTCTTGACGTTCTCCTTACTGGGACTGGACATGGTCTCTCCTGTCGATCCTGATGGTACTGGACTGTCCAGAGCCACTCCATCAGTGATGTTGGTGACAGCCTGAGAACCTTGATCTTCACCCCAAACAATATTTGAGTTAGAAATATTAGGGGTGATAGTGACAGTATTTGGTTCTATATAAATCTGCCCCGACTGAAGGGTTGCTTGAGGAGATAATGGACTCAATGGTTGAACTTGAGGATTAACTGCTGTGACATTAGAAATTGTTTTATTATGGACTAGTTGCAGGTTCGTCTCGTATCCAGAAGTTCCGGGAGGTCCATGAGGCGTCACTGGATGACTTATTGGTGGAGTTCCAACGTTAAGTGACTCCGAAGGTTGACTCGTTAATTGTGACAGTTTTTGCTGGAGATCTGCTATGGTCTGTGGCCCAGGGCTTGATATTTCCATCGGTTTCTCCAATGAATTCTGTTGACTTAATTTATAATGGTTCTGGACAATTGACTGAGGCAATGAGTGATGAATTGAATCTGAGGACTCAATTATCGTGTGTTCAGGTGTGATATCTCGACTTGAAATAGTCGTATCTGTCTCATACATCATTTGACAATCAGAACTTGTTCCCCTGCTGATTGTGCTGACATCGATTGCAGAGTCTGTCTCGGTTTTATGCTGCTCTGGGAGTCTTAATTGCAGGTTCTGCTGGAGCTGTTCCGTCTGGAAATCTTGTTGCTCCTGGGACAATTGCGGTGGGAGTTGCTGAATGGGTTGGATTACGCTTTGAATCGGTTTTACGTATTGTACTGGAACTGGCTGAATTACATGCTGAATGTTTTGATTCGCTGGATAGTTCGGCACAACCCGCTGACCCTGCATCATCATATTTTGGTTTAATAAATTCAATTCCATTTGACCCTGAACCTGTTGGGTTTCCTGGGAGAATGATTGCTGTTGTTGTTGTTGCTGTTGTTGGATTGCAGGTTGCAGTAACGTTTGCGATTGGTGCTGCAGTTGCGATTGTTGCTGATTACTAATATCACTCTGCTGAGGATGCCCCGGCAGTTGAATTCCATGTGTCTGCACTTGAGGATGATTAATTGTTTGAAAATTCTGATGTTGAATTTGAAAATTTTGTTGCTGAATGTGTGTATGAATTTGTTGAGAAGTTTCAGGTTGAATCGGTTGAAAATACTGCTCTGAATGTAGAGTAGGCAAGGTCGTTGGTTGATTAGCAACACCCGGTTGATCGTGAGGAGTAGCATTATGAGGAGTAGTTGATTTTGTCTTTGGATTTGACAAAATATTTGCAAGGTTCTGAGCAAGGTCCGGAAGAGTTGAAGATACCTCTTTAGCTTTGACTTTAGGTGGATCCTGTACTGGAGCCTGCATAGTCTGAGAGAAATTCTGATGAAAATTCTGGTAATGATGTTCGTGAGACACTGGAGCTGATAGATCAGTTGGAGGGTGAGATGTTGGAAGATTCGGAATAGAACTGATATCCATATTTCCTTGGGAATCTGTGGATATGTTAGAAGTCCTCCTGTTCCAATCTTCCACGTTATTACCCTGAATTGGGGCCATGGTGCCTGAGAGGATAACATACTGCTGCTGAATGGGTTGAGCCTGCTGTGATGATTGCATCTGTTGTGGTATGGTCTGGACAAAATGCTGCTGTATTTGATGATGTTGTTGATTCATCCGATTTTGATCATGACTCAATTGTTGCGGGACGTTTTGAGACATTTGATGTTGCATTTGCATCTGATTAATGTCCATCATTTGGTTCATCTGATGCATCTGATTTTGTTGGATACCTTGATCTGGTTGAATTATTTGTTGTTGAATTGTATGGGTAATTTCTGCGTGGTATTGTTGATTAGCAACGTTCTGTATTTGAGAGACATTCTCATTTGTTTGAATTCCCGTTTGATGAACAATTGCGGTATTTTGCTGAACCATTCCCGTATTCTGGTGGTACTGAACATTCTGAACATTCTGGACATTTTGAATTAACTGAGAGGGTTGTGATAAATTAGTTGTTTGAACCACCATAACTGTTTCCTGTTTTGTTTGGGTTATAACTGCAGTATTTGTTGGTAATTGATTTATCTGCTGCTGTTGTTGCTGTATTTGTTGCGTCTGTGCAAGTTGTTGATTATTTACAGAATCTTGGTGAATGAAATCAGCAACCCCAGTTCGTATTTCTAGAGTCTTTGTCTCTACTTCTTGTTTCTGAATATGCTGACTGGGCAATGGATCAACAGAAGGAAGTAATAATGGTTGTGGTGGTGCTAAGGTGTTTTCGTGAACAATCACGCTCTCTGAATCCCCAGAGATAGTCTTCTGCTCAGCTACTGGACTCACCAGAAATCTCGAAATCTTTCGCATTGGAAGAATTTTCGGTTTCAATTCTGATGTTAGTTGGAGCTCTTCACCAGCCTGTGACGAAAGATCTTGAGGGTCCCCAGGAAGTGCTAGGGCTGTCATTGGTTGGTTCACCTCTCGAGAGAGTTCTTCCCCGGATTTCTGAGCTGGTGGGAAAGTTTCCATAGTTCCTAGGGGCATGGATTTTGGGGTAAATTCTCCGGTGTCGTCTAAAGAGCTATTGTTGGCTTCCAGAAGGGTCTCTTCAGACCCTACACTCTCGTAATTCTCGTTGGAATCACTGAGGACGTTCACTGGGGTCAATGTATCTGTATTTTGGGTCGATGTAGATGAACGTCGTGAAATTTCTTCAGAAGTGCTGTTCTCAGTCGTATTTGGACCTTCAGATGAGGAAACGTTTTGTGGGGGTTTATCCACTTGCGCCAATGCTATTTGAGACATTATTTGATCAATTGGAAGGATCTTTGAAGAGGCTGATGAGTTCGAGGTTTCGTCTCTCTAGAATTATAAACAAAAAATCGGCAAAAAATAATTTATGGTATTGATAATTGTGGGAGTGGAAATATGACCAGTAAAACTAATAAAAAATTGAAAAAAAAGATCAATTACAAGTGATGAAAGGATTCAAAATAAGAGTCAGAAAATTAGAAATTATGACTTCAGCATTGGAACTGCAGAGAATGTCAGGTGAGTCAGGAATGAACGGATTTACAGATTATTTTGTGAATATGAAGTATTTTGATATTCACGAGAAAATAACTCAATTTTCAGGGAAAAGAATCATGGCGGGTAATGTCCGGAAATTGGTTACACACACTTTGGGGTTATTTTTACAGCGGGACCTTAAGTCGCGAAATACGGCTCAGTTTATGTATACTCCTGCTAAACATTCGATAGTAATGCAAAGTTCATCTGAATTTCGCGTTTTCACCGAGTTAGGTAGGAGTAGACATAAACTTAGCCGTACTTTGAGTGTTTTGAGGTCCTGATGTAAATAGTCCTCTTTATAATCTTGCAGTAATTTTTATAATCTGAAGAGAATAAAAAGCAGTTTACTAAAGACGGGAATTTGTATAACGTTCCGCATTTTGTGGCGTCACAGGATATGGTTGGAGATAGGTTTTTGGAGTAGCTGGAGTAGGAGGGGAACCAGGCTGATTTTCCATATTAGTTTGCAGGACAAATGTACGTTCCAATTTTTTTGCTCTACAGCCTTTTCTTCTGAATCGTTATCTCAGAAGTCATATTGTGATTAGTTTTTCAAGATGTCACGTGCTAAATAGAAAAAGGTTATAGTGACCATTTGGGGAGTTTTAGGTAATCGAAGTGGAAAAAGATCGTACGATTGGGCTCTCTAGAATCATTTTAACCCAATTTTTGAGGATAATTTTTTTTTTGCGCGTACGATCTTTTTCCACAAATGTCTCTCCAATAGCGGAAAAATGAAAAAAAAAATTCTTTTCACAGTTTTCCTCTCATTCTTTTAATAGTCAGTCGTAGCTTTAAAGAAAGGAACATCATTCTAGAATTTACTCCTAGAAAACTGAAAGCAAAATATACAGTGAGCACTATATGCGCGGAAATAAAAAAAATAAGAACTAAAACCTTGAAAATTGAATACCCCCGACGAAGAAGTTTTAAGGGGAGATATTCATTGAATTATAGTTCTCATCTTTTATTTTCCTCTTTGTTTCGAATGGTAGCTTTATAAATGTGTTTTTTTTATTTCATCATCTTAGGTGGAAATGCTTAGAAATGTGTGGTTGCCGATATAGATAAATAGTTATCGAAAAAATTCTAAATTAAAATAAAAGCTGAAAAGTATTAGACCAATTTGAATTTTTCTTTTCTCAATCTCCTACCAGGATGAGATGGAACAGTTTATATGAAATTCTCCTGAAAAAAAAAACGCATCGTTATGAACAGTATCGACCGAATATCAGAAACATGAGGAGAAAACAGTAAAAAGATTTCTCGTTCCTTTTTCCACTATTGGAGCAACATTTGTGGAAAAAGGTCGTATGCACAAAAAAAAATTGTCCTGAAAAGTGGAGTTAAAATGATTCTACAGAGTCCAAAACGTCTAGATTTCATGTTCCTTAGATTAGGTACACACGACCTTTTTCCACTCCTATGACCTCAAACTCCCAGAATGCTCAATACGACCTTTTTCCATTTCAGCACGCGATGTGTATTTTTGCTGACTCCCCAATTTTTAATTTAATTGAACAAAAATTTCTCAACTAGACTTGTAATGAGCGTCGAAAGAATATGAAACCACGTCGGTTTCATATGCTAGGGCGAAATAAGACTTGGACATACTTTAACATCAAGACAGCATTTTTTCGACGAAAAGACCTATTACACATAATGGATTCCCTTCACTTCTTGGTACATTTGTTCTTTTACATTCACGCCCTATCGATCTCTTTTTCACTAAACAAAAATCTTTATATGGTTTTCTCTCGTATAGCCTTTCGGGGCTTTACGAGTTGGGTAAATGTTAAGAAAGAGGGCCCCACCACCGATCCGATGTTTAAGTTTTCAGAAAGATTGGTGGTGGGCCCCTCTTTCTTAACATTTACCACGATTTGTTCTCTTCCCATCTCCTAACCCCCTGTACCGCATTCGCTGAAGGACAAGGGAAAACCTCACTTGAGGGAAAAACCCGCCCAGGTACAGTTGTCTCTTGCGAGACTCTCGTTCGGTAAATGAAACCGTGAGATTTTAGAGTGTCACAAATTCGGTCCCCCAGCCGGGAATTGAATCCGGGTCTTCTGCATCGGATCCAGCGTTGCCAACCATACCATAATTATGGTACCGCTACCATAATTTCACATCCGATACCATATACCATAGAGAGGTCTATGGTATCCCTAATTTTACCATAATTTCTTGTTTCGGGAAGGAGACCACGAAAAATGCTTGTTGTTTAAAATTCTTTATTCTGCCAATGGATCATCCGGGAATCTCTCGTCATCTGGCAACTGATCACGGAATCCCGAATCATTTTGTATTTGGATGAGCTATTGGTCAATCTCGTCATCAATCTCTCTTTCCCTAGCATCTAGGCGTTATTCATCCACACTAACATCAAGATTTTCCTCATCATCATCATGATCAGACCCAACTATTGGTTCTTCAACTTTATCCAGATAGACATTCTCCACTTTTTCATTGTTGACGTGGTGAATGAGATGAATTTGAGCCAAGAATAATCCCGGAGCTATAAATATTTACATTTTACTGTGTGCTTGTATTCGATTATGTTTATTCTTCACCCAGTTTATCCTTCCAGACATTGGCAGTACCGCTCCTTATTTCTTCTGTTTGATAGAATGTTCAAAGAACAGAAAAAAATAGGATTTTGTGTTTCATTTCAATTTTCCGAAAAAGGCACTTTTAACGTGGATACCATAATTTGAATTGAAATACCATAATTTTGTTACGTTGGCGCCATAATCGCCTACGTTCAGGTTGGCAACGCTGATCCGATCCCACACTCTTAGCACACAGCCACCATCGTGCGTTACTGAAATCTTTAAATTTAAATTTTACCACTTTTTTCAAATCCTTAGACTGAATTCTCTATTAATGACGATCCAATTTTGATAATGATTAAAAAAAATAGTTTCATCAAAAGTTCCAAATTGCAGGCGCAGCTGAAAATTCTCATCATTTAGAAACGGCATTTTCACTCATTGAAAGAATGGAACAATTAGTTGCTGTCAATGAGGCTTTTTATTCATTGATAGTTAATGAATGGTGTTGATAGTTGAGAAGTCTCGTTAACAGCAACTAAATCGTTCTATCAGTGTACATAAAATCGGATTTTTTTGAGAATTTTTTCCTGTTCGATAAAACAAAACAAAATTTGCTAATGGAAATGTGCGATGATCAAATTTAGATCTATTTTATTTTTATCAATTAGATCTATTTTATTTTTAATTTTTTATTCTCAAAATTCCGCGAATTCGATCAAATAAAAATTTACCTTAAATTGTCATTGGTTGACTTTGATTATAAACAGTATGAAGTAAATTTAAATATATACCTACATATAACATTTTTTCGATACATAATTAAAGTCGTTTTAAGATGTTTTCGCAAAATTTTCGCAATTTTAAAAAGAAAAAAGAAAAAAAAATAGATCCTGGATGGAACCCAACATGTATGACGGCTCAAAATTTTCGTTTTCATTATAAGAATTACGGAAAAAAAATGAAAATAATCGGCCCTGACGTAATTGGCAAAATTCAAGTTTTCAACTTTTTTTTCGAAAATTCGTCATTTCGAGCATCTAAAGATTGGGAATTTAAAAAAAAACATTCTTATAGGTGGTGAAAAATGGAAAATTTTGCCCCCTAATAAATCGAAATCGGATGAGTAGAACTCGAGTTATCGTAAAAAAACTGAACAATTTGAAAAAAATCATATTTCTGAACTGGGCTGTCAAAAAAATCTGAAAAAATTTGAGAGATAGTTTTTCAAGCCCCGTAATCGTAGAAAAAATCGCCATCAATTTTCAAGAGAGTGAGGGTTAGCCGTTGACTCATTTGGCATGGAATACCTCATATATTTATGTATTGTCGGGGAATTGTTTGACGTTCTCTCTAATTTCTTTCACAAACCTCCATTTTTACTTTGTTTGGTCAAATTTCCCACCAAAAGAACGAAAAATAGTACGTGCACTTAGGGAGGTCAGAAGGCCATCTTGAACCGCAATCTACTATTCTTTTGATGCCGGATAATGGAAATCTTGATGCCATGTATAAAATGACGATGAATTCCATCAAAAATAATTGGAAAACTCGATTTTCCGCAATTACGTCATGATTTTTGCTATTTTTATGTTTTCTATAAAATTTAACAACATAAACGCTCATCTTGAGGACAATTAAAAAGTAGGCGAAGCTCTGAATGTATTAAATTTTTGCCTTTTTAGAAGTTTCCAATTTTTATTGCAGATTTGCAAAAAACATTGATTGTACTTCTAAGCAATATATCAAATAAGATAAGTAATTTGAGTTTTGAGGCTTTCGCGGCCAATATTATCATTCATTACGATGGCTCCCGGATGGATGCCGCGTCTAGATTCAGCTTTTTGCCGACGTTTCACAAACATTTCAGTCTGCATCATCAGGGCTAGGTTGCTCCGATACTGAAGCTCCCCGTTGTAAGGAAGTCCTTATATCCCCCTGACCCCTGGAGGGGGTAGATAGAGTGGTGGGGGTATCCCAGCCAATCAAGATGGTTTTAATTGATCAGCTGGTCAATTAAAAAACTGGGAAGACGGTGTGCCAAATTGGATTGGTTTGGTATCCTCGATCCCTATTGAGATTGTTCAGATGTTTTTTGGATCTCGAGACCTTCGCGATGTTTTCTGACGAAATATCCTTGTGAACTGGCAAGCATTTCTGTCTTGTCATATTGGATAGACTGTCCAGTGTCCATCCAATGTTCAGCCAGTGCAGATTGCGAGATATGGATATTTTTCC